GTGTGTGTGTGTGTGTGTGTGTGTGTGTGTGTGTGTGTGTGTGTGTGTGTTTTCTGGGTTTTTTTGTTTCTTGTTTTGTCAGCTTAACACAGGAAGAGGAACCTCAACCCAGAACACGCCTCCATCAGATAGCCTGTAGGCAAGTCTGTAGTGCACTGTCTTGATTAATATTGATGTGTGTGGGCCTAGCCCACAAGGGTGCACAAGGTAGCATTGCCACCCCTACACAGGAGATCCTGGGCTATATAAGAAGCAGGCTGAGGAAGCCACGTGGAGCAAGCTAGGCAGGAAGCAGACTCATTCACGGCTTCTGTCTTAGTTCCTCCTTTGAGTCCTTGCCTTGGCTTCCCTCAACAGACTATATCCTGGATTGTAAGTCAAATAAACTCTTTCTTCCCCAAGTTGATTTTAGTCATGGTTTTAATCACAGAAACTTTAAGACAGACTCCTAGCCTAAGCTACTAATGCTGCTACCCTCCTGCCTCATTGTGAGGAAGTGCAGGACACATGGTGAGTTTACCAAAAGGCACCCTGACAGTATGCCCAGTCTTTTCAGTTGAGTTACAAGAGAGACGCCAATCCCCTGTGCACTAGGCCGCATGATTACTCCCAACGACTGTACTTTGGATGACTTATTACACAGACAGAGCAGCCTAGTGCTCGCCCTTTCATCCGCACGACTGAACTGCTGTGACACAGCTACGTTCTGTTTAAGAAGAAAACGCCTGTGAATAATTTAGTCCTGGCTTAGAAACTTGGCTATTGCTTTCTCCGTCCAGAAAGTTATTTTTCTCCTTAAGTTAGCTGCTATCAAACTTTTCAGAGTACCTCATAGTAAATATTTGGCAAACACAATCAAATGCATTCATATTTGCACATACATGCAACTGAAAGCTCTAGTAGGTAGCACTTTACGAAGTATCTTGCACTTAACATTGTATTTCGTAGTATTGTACTTATATTTCTGCTCTGAATTATTTCATTATTTATGAAGTATGGGGTTTTGTTCATTTGTATACAGTGTCTTCCACAGCCCAGACTGGCCTCAAACTCACTATGTATGTCTTCAATTTCTTGATTCTCCTGTTTCCCCAGTAATGGAATTACAGATGTGCGCATCTCTGCTACCTCTAAAGTATAGTTTTGACTAAGTTTTGTTGTTGTTGTTTATAAATAGGTCAAGATGCCAAACAACAGATCTTACACAATATCCTTTCCATTTGAAAATACTTCCTATACTCTAAGCACTCTCCAGGACATTTCCCAGACTCAATCATAAAGGCTTCATGGACTCTTCCAGGCTCTTTTGAAGCTCCTAGCATTTGTCATAATGTTTTCTGTACTACCCATGCTTAACATGTAAGCACTTCCAGGGCAAGGCCAACCAAGTACAAAGCTCAAAACTGGAAGGGCCAACAGTAATCAGAATAACCCATTCTCTGATGTTCAGGCCTGTCACTGCTTGGAGCCTAGCTTACTGACTTGTGACGCGTATGCAAATAACTGAAGCTTAACTCTTAAGGGAGGAAGACTTGTCAATGTGGGCTCTCAAGTAGAGTCTTGACTGTTTTAGCAGTCACTACATATGTATGCCATTTTTGGTGGCTCTCGTGTTACATCTCAAAAGGCTGGTAATTTTTCTTTCTGTTTCGGTAAGTGAGAGTATGGGGGGGGGGACTGACGTACTGACTGACACAGCGTGTCTGTCTTTCTGAAGACTTCTCTTATAATCTTCTGGCTTAAAGTCTAGATTGGACTATTTATAATACAATTTCTACGTCACTCTCGCTAGTTCGGAAATTCCTTTTCTGTAGTAAAAGCAAGAATCTCAAGTATGGTCTGAGTTGAGGTCTCCAAACATTACGGGAACTCTTCAGGCTTCTGAGGGTGAAAAGATGGGAGCTGTGTGTGCGCATGTCTGTCCCTTTTCTGCTCACTCTAATGGTCACTGGCACCTCACTCCGAAAGAGCGGTCTAAAGAAAGAAAAGTGGTACTTCAAGGCTCCCATCCAGCCCCCTTTAAACTCTACTTAAATACGAGCTCACACTCGTGGCAAGGCAACTCATTTTAACCGCTGGAAAAGGGCTCCACTCCCACGTAGGGGTGTGACTCAAGTCATCTGTTGACTGTTCTATTAAAACTTTTATATACATCCTGGTCTGGTACGTATCGGTGGCCTGGCTTTGTCATTTGTGATTCCACACAAGGCTGTTCTTTTTCTTCCCTGGCTAATTTCAAATTTTTACCACTCACTAAATAAGCTGCTTGATATAGGATAAATGTAACAGTATTGTTTAGGTTTCTTCGAGATAGGACACAGAAAAATCACTTAATCATTTATCCTCAAGTATTCAAAGACGAAAAAGTACTCGGTGCCAACTCTCTGCGTGTTTTACGCAAAGCAAATCATGTGTAAGTGGTTTTTTTTCCCAAGAATTCTACCAAACATGGACTTATACAGCCACATAAAGCTTCAAGTCTGAGTTCTCTTAAATGTGTTTGGGGAGGTAACGCGGAGTGTTCTGAGGGGTTACTATTTCCTCACTAACTCACGGTAACTACTCTCAAAAACGTTCCGGAACTCATTTCCCAGTTTCGCCGCTTGGACCCAGCAGCCAGCACAGCCGGAAGCCGACGGTTACTAAAGGGGCAATTCACAGAGGAAGCGAAGGCGGGACTTCCAAATGAGCTTCTCCGGCTCGTCCTGCGCCGCTCCCGGCTTCATCGTGGCCCTGGCAACCGCCAGGCCCCGCCCACTGGTGTCCCACGGAAAGCGCTCCGGGCGGAGCGCGCTGGGTCGAGGCCGTGTGGACCGCGAGTTCTGCTTGGAGCAGGTCTGCCTTCCCTCGGGTCGGGTGGCTGGGTCCGGGGACCCGACGGGCCTGGAGGAGGTCCTGCTGCGTTTGGCGTGCCTGTGGGGAAAGGCTTGAGTGGTTTGGCACTTAAACGAGTATTTCTCAGGCTTCCCAAGCCGGGGGAGCTCCGTCCTGACCCAGCCAGCTCCCTGTGAGCACTCTTCTGTAATTCAGGCTTTGCAGGGGCTCAAGGGAGGTCAGGGAAGAAGGGAGACAGATGTGTGCTGGCATCAGCCAATAAGCAGAGGCGTTTCCTGTGTCTGTTTCTAGGGAGTGTGAAGCAAGTATAGTGACACTTTGCCTTCCTAGCTGCACGAGGTTGGGTAAGAGTAGTGATGCCTAAGATTACAGCATTTCAGGGCTTTTGTGATTGAATTCCAAATGAGAAACTTTACAAGACACTCTGCCTGCTTGTGGTGTGTTCTGTGGGAGGGGCTTCTCCCCTGTTAAAAAATGGCGGAGGTATTTAGGATGGTTTTTTTTTTTTTTTTTAATGGATTTTGTGCGCGCCTGTACAAATTACACGACCAGTTCTTAGCCCTTCACAAACGAATATTGAAAATGGTTTTATCTGGTCAAGGTAGCCTTTTCCTCCCCTTTAAGGAAAAAAATTATCAGGCTACCCTTTGTGCCAGGCTGTGTAGAGCCCAAACTTGAGTAGTGAGATAAATCCTAGATGCCTTTTAGAGAATGGGCTTAATTGACAAGCATTTGGATTTATCTAAAAGTACTTAAAAAATAATAATAGGTAAATTGGAAAGAATTCTGCTTTCCTCACTGAATCCTCACTGAATCCTCACTGAAAAGAGCCTTTAAATGAACACATTTCTCCATATCAAATATGTGGATCCAGTAATAAGTACTCAGAAGTGTAAGAGATTGTCTTTGCCTGTGTGAATTAATAAGGAACTGAATTGGGATCTGACTTCAAGCCTAAAAATAGATGCTATGTGCAAAGTAGACAGGATGAAACAGCATGAATATAATTAATTTTGGAGGAATTTGGTGGAAGGAGTTTAAACTTTTCTCAGCCTAAGTTGCATAATAAATAGAGCGTCAAGATGCTACTTATTTTGGTTCCCTAGTAATGGCTATTGTTTCCTAATTCTTTCTAACCCCCACAACTCCAGCTGAATCTCCCATTACATATTTGATGTTAAATATACACTCACATACCCCATGTCCTCTTTTTCTTTCATTGTTGTTACATACACATACCTATATATAACCTGCACAGAAAGTATCAAGTGGGAAAGTTCTCATCCTATTTTATCGCTACTAAAGAATCTGAAGGGTAAATATTTCTGAAAAGTTTAGAAGTCTAAGGTGAAATATTTCACCTTGTAGGATATTTTACAAAGATTGTCAGCAGCTGTCTCAGCATTGTCAGCAGCTGTTATGTTGACTGTTGGCTCAAGTTGGAGAGGAATGTATCTTGTAGAACATATCTTATGTTTGGAAGAACAGAACGTCTTGTTTTTCTTCTACTCTCACTTCATAATCATCAGGAATACTTGTGACCTCAAAAGGTGTGGGGTTTTCCCCCTCCCCCAGCAGGAAGTAAGCAAATAATTCTATGGTGGATACCACCTGGTATCCTCTAACTAAATTAAGGGCTAACATTACTGGGGGCGGTGTCAGAATCCACAGGCTGATGGTTCAGTCACTAAGACTGTCCCATCCTCATTCACACTCACAAGCTGTGCTTTCAAAATTTCCTACCAAGTAGCTACAAGATGAGATTCCTTCAGCTCCTCTTCAGATGCATTTAATCTGCTCATGTGGCCCACAGATCTCAGGGAACACTATGATTGCATTCAATGGTTATCATAGGGGATATTTAAACATTCAAATGTACAGGCAGGTAGAAGTAGGGAAAGGGCCTAAGCACAAGCAATTTCTCCCTGAGCAGTTTGGGTGTACTGCCTTACAGAGAGCGGAAGAGTTCCTCTTTGTGTGAGCCCATGCAGAGAAAACTGTCCAGAAGCTTCTGGCAGCCCCTGCTTGGAGTTTTTATACGGTGTTATGGGCTTAATGCTAACAGAGTGGAAGGGAATCATTAGGGCCTGTCAGGTTCTTCTCCTTTCCTCCCTCCAAAGTATAGGACAGAATCCAGTCTGAAAGAGGCATTTGTTCATCTATTATAGTGAAACACCTTCAAGTTAGATTTCCTATTACTAGCCCCAAGGAAGGAGTTTTAAGCCGGAATTGTGGTCAGAAATTGGGGGGGGGGGGACAAGTCTCTCTCCCCTTTCTCTTTATCTCTCTCTCCCCCCTCTGTGTGTGTGTGTGTGTGTGTGTATTCATAATAGCCAACTGACTTCACTCACACCACTGCAGCCTTTATTTTCATTTGAGTTCACCATGAGAATTGCTGTCATGGGATGCCGAGTCAACGCTAAAGTCTACATAGATGAATGTGTTTCCTTATGACAGTAACAGCATTATTGTATTCTTGATGTTTTTAAAACAAAATATATTTGAGACAAAATGGGTGCTATCAAAATGGATTATCAGTCTCCTAGTTTTATATTTGAAATGATCTTTAATATAGCACAGTTCCATTTTTTTAAAGGATAATTTGTAAGAGTAAATGAAATTCCTCTTTTGAGTTGTTTTTTTAATTTTGTATTTCCAAGCACATGAATTTAGTGGGTTTTGAACTTAGTAATATCTATTGATTAAAAATTTATATTGGACATCTTTATTTGTAACAACAGTACAGCGTTCAAACTTCATTCCTCCTCATTTTGACTTTCACAGTGCACCTATGATACATGCTTTAGAAACGGAACATTTGGTTCAAAGAAAAAATGGCTCTCAATCCATCTGTATTTCCTCGAGAAAGTGAAGCGAATAATGCAAATTGTATGGAAACAAAACAGTCGCACGCCGCTTCCATAGCTGCGGAAGATCCCCTTCAGAACCTGTGCTTAGCGTCTCAGGAAGTGCTTCATAAGGCCCAGCGGAGCGGGAGGTCCCACTGTCTCAAGTGTGGAGGCTCAAGAATGTTCTACTGCTACACATGCTGCGTCCCCGTGGAAAATGTGCCCACCGAGCTGATCCCGCTCGTGCAGGTAGGACCTGTTTGAAAGTAGAAAAATGCATTTAAAAAAGAGATTTTTATATAAGTATATGAATATTCATATATAGATATATGCCTACTCTAATATATTTGCTAAGCTTGGAAATGAATTGTATTAATGGATAATTTGACACTGTTAGACCTACTTCTCTGTTTTGTTTCTGGAAAAAAATCACTTGAGTTTGAAATGAATGATGTAATTCCAATGAAGCTAATTAGTTTAAAAAATTAATAATTACAAAGACAGTGTTATTATGTCACTTGAAAAATCTTCAAAAATGACTTCAAGATCTTGTAATGACCTTGGAAAACATTATAGGTAGAACTAGGGGTGCATTCCTGAGGTTTTGTGAGGTTCCCCATCCTAGATATGGAATGTAGCAGACGGCCATGACCAACTCCAAACTGAGCTAAAATGTAAATGACGACATTGTGCACATTGTACGTAGTACACCCTGGACTACATTACAGCTACAGTGATTTTAGCCGTGTGGGAAAGCTGATTTGAATTGATTGCCTCCTTTACTGCCTTGTGGTGTTTACCAAGGCTTTCTATGGATAAGGTGTTCATAGATCATGCATTTATGTATAGTCAAAGAATTTATTACACGTCTTAATCAGGGTTTTTATTGCTGTGACAAAACACCATAACCAAAAAGCAAGTTGGGGAGGGAAGGATTTATTTGGCTTATGCTTTCATATCACCTTTCATCACTGAAGGAAGCATCAGGACAGGGACTCAAACAGGGCAGGAACCTGGAGGCAGGAGCTGATACAGAGGCCGTGGAGGAATGCTGCTTCCTGGCTTGCTTCCTATGGCTTGCTCAGCCTGCTTTTTTTATAAAACCCAAAGCCACCAGTCCAGGGATGGCACCACCCACCAGGGGCTGGGCCCCCCCCCCCCCCCATTGATCACTAGTTGAGAAAATGCCTTACGGCTGGATATTACGGAGGCATTTTCTCTACTGTGGCTTCTTTCTCTCTGATGAATCTAGCTTGTGCCAAGTGGACACAAAACCATCCAGTATACTATGTAAGTGTTAACTTGTCTAGCACTGACCCAAATGTGAGAACTAAGTCAAGTAATTGTATTAGGTGTGATTGCCATGTATTAGAACTTTAGAGAAATTCAGTTCTACACCTTACACAAATGGGTCTTGCTGGGAACAAAATAAATTGAAGCTATATTCGGAAATATGTATTTTGATGTTTTTTGTTTTTTGTTTTGTTTTGGTTTTTTGAGCCAGGGTTTCTCTGTGTAGCCTTGGCAGTCCTGGACTCACTATGTAGACCAGGCTGGCCTCAAACAGCCTCTGTCTCCCAGAGTAGTCAGATTATAGGTGTGTGCCACCGTACCTAGCTGTATTTTGATGTTTTAAGTTTATTTAGGTTTGAAGTATGAAAGACATTTTAATGCTTATTTTGTTAAATGCATCATCTTGGCAAGTCCATGGTCTCTTTCGGGGTCTAAAACCACATAAACAGATGAAGGAAAAGTTTATTGGCCAACAATGTTGTTGTTGTTTCACTTAGAAACAAACAAAAAGTTTGAGGTTAAGGATTTTTGTTAATGTCTCACGAAGAGGAATGGTCCATGTCAGAATATAGTTTCTGAAATACATGAAAAAATGATCCTGTGTTCTGTGTATGCCACAGCCACATAGAGAAAATGTCCTGCTAAGAACCTTACCTTGCCAGGTGTACTTGCAGCACTTGGGAGGCAGAGGCAGAATGCTCTCGGGATCAATGCCAGCATGGGTGACACAGTGAGTGAGGCAGGCCCAAGTTACGTAGTGAGACATTCTCACAAACATTAAAAAGACTCTTTATCTTAGAGTGTGTTCAAAAAAGAATTGTAGCTCAGAAAGAGAAAAGTTGTCTTACAGAGCTACTATCTTTTGACAGAAATTTAACAGCAGGATTATTTTCCAAATCAATGGCAATACGCACCATTTATTAGAAGTAGTTAAAAAACCATGTCAAGTACTTGATCAACTGCATAGTTTTCTAGAGTTTATTTCAGTGCCTGCATATAAAATATCATATGCATATAAAATATGTGTTAAGAGAAATAGAAAATCTAAATAATGTTTCTAAATTCTGTATCAGTTTTAAACAAACCTTCAGCATTTGCTTTCATAGAGCCTGCTTGGAAACATAGAACACGAAGAGTAAGTCCCTTTTAATCCTAAAATTTTAGTCTGGAGAATTGTGGTAATTTGAAAGAAAATGGCCCCATCAGCTTTTATAGTAGAATATTTGGTTTCCAGTTGGTGGAACTTTTTGGGAAGGATTAGGAGGTGTGGTCTTGTTGGAAGAGGTTTCAAGAGACTCATACAATTCCCAGTGATCTCTCTCTGCATCGTGGTTATAGCTCAGGATGTAAGTAAACTCTCAGCTACTGTTCCAGCACCATGCCTGCCTTCCTACTGTTCTGTTCCCTGTTATGACGGCTGTAATCATAGATTAGATAGGGATATCATAGATTCTAATGCTCTGAAATGATTACTCCCAGAAAAACTTTTTCTTCTGTAAGTTGCCATGATCATGGTGTTTTGCCACAGCAATAGGAAAGACTAAAATAACTAAGACAAGAATAAATCAGACATACCTTTATTTGATGGAGAATTTGAAAATTATGTGAAATAAATAAAGATAAAAAACAAAACATCAGAAGGGAAAAGAAAACTTCAGCCTCAGCATCCCTGTTTGAAAAGGCTTTGCTGTGGGGCAAACACTTGTGCCTTCCAGCTGGTGGTATTTTAATATATCTGAGCAGAAAGCCGCATGCTGGGTCTGTTGTCAAAAACCATGGCCATCAGAGGACAGATGGATATCTTGTTGCATATTTATAAGTAGAATATCTCTTCCAAACTGCCCCCTGGTCTGGTCAATACTGGAGTGTTTACTCTGACATGTCAGTATTTAATGTGATTGTTCCTGTCAAACGGGTGAACCAGCACACAAATGTAAATCCCCACCATTTGATGTGCCTTAGTGTCACACTGCCAGAAGCCTCAGACTTACTCTTTGACAACTGATGCTGTCCTAGATTGGGTCCAGAGGTCATGACTTTTGTGTAATTGTCTGATTGATAATTTTTAGTTCATAAAACGTCCTTTTTCTTACACGATTAAAGTATCCATATGATTTGAAAAATCCATTTGATTCTGTGTTCTTTGTTCTTGTTTGTTTTTTATCCTTTTTTAAAAATCCATTCTGTGTTCTTGATGAAAAGTTGATCAGAACTATTTTTTAATTTTTATTAATTACAGTCTATTCACTTTGTATCCCACCTTTAACTCTATCCCTCTTCCCCACCCAATCCCACCTTCCCTCCCTCTTCTCCACCCATGCCCCTTGATCAGAACTATTAATGTTAGCCTTTGCTTAATTAAGGAAAAATACTTGGGGAAGTGTTTTTGAGATACATCTTGTCTCAAGTATAACTTGACAAGGGTCATTTTAAGGTCATTTTAAGGCCCGTTCTGTTGCTGGTTTTTCTATTGACAGCCTAATTTGTGCTATGAAGATGCACTGCCAGAGATCACAAAATTTCAGGTAACTTTGATTTGAAAAAAATGTATGAAGAGCAGGATATGAATTTCAATTTTAAATCTGAAGAATCATTCAAGCTTTTTATTTATTTATTTACTCATTTGTTTGCTTATTTATTTATTTATTTATTTATTTATTTATTTATTTATTTATTTA